ATAAGGAGCTATACATCAAAAAAGAGAAATGCTTCTTTGCCCAAAAAGAATTATCATTCTTGACATAGGATTAAACTTGGAAAGCTTATAATAGAAAATACCAAGTTGCATGCCATTTAAAGTTGGAAGCCACCCACTATGATTCACGAGTTAAAATTCTCTTATGGACTAGTGAACTATAATCGATGAATTAATCAAGGGATACGCAACACAAGTGACACCATTGACAAACTTTCTTAAGAAGCCAACCATGGCAATGGCATGGAATGCCAACATGCTTTCAAAGACCTAAAAATTGAAAAATGTTAAGGCTCAATCCTTAGCTTGGTTGATCACTTTAAGACTTCAAGGTGCACAAAAATGCTTCAAACTTTGCAATCGAATGAGTGCTTATGCAAGTTCATCCTATTATTTATGAGAACCGCAAACTTAAAAGAAAAAATATCATTATATAATAGAAGAGAAATAAATAACAAGAACTATCCATTTTCTAAGAGTTTTGTAACATTACTTAGTAGGCTCCAAATTAATGATCATGACTGATGATATTGCCATGAGCTATTTCTAAACCAAAAAAAAGCTAGGCCTAAAGCAAAAATTGATTACCACCTGGAGAATAAGCCAAATAAAACTAATACTATGGAATCCGGAAGATAAAGGGTAGCAACCATCAGTCAAGTGGATATTCCCTTGTCCGTATCAAGCAAGTTATTCAATAGAACACTGAAACCTCATTGATGCAATGGCAATGATTTTGGCTAGATGAAGGACTGTAATAAAAAAATGGAGAGACATCTCCTTCTACCAAAATAGGGGAATCATTGTCGTGAGATAATAAGAGATTGTCATGACTCTATGTGGATTGGTTACCCTGGCATGAAGCACATCCTTGCACTATTAAAAACCGCATACTACTACCCAGAAATGAGGAATGAAGTACAATCATATGTGAAGACTTCTCTTGCATGCCAACAAGGCAAGGTGAAGCAAATAACGCTAATAAGATTAATTGAATCATTGTCTATTCCAACAAAATCCTAGGAAAGTGTTTCCAAGGACTTCATCACCACCTTGCACAAATTAAAAAGGTGTGAAAGTATCATACTATTCATCGACCAAGTGAACAAATATGCAATCTTCATTCTATCCCCTACTAATTGCAGCACTGAAGAAAAGGCTCGTCTGTTCCTACACCACAATGTCAAACTGAGAAGTGCATCTAATATAAAAAGTGATTGAGACACTCATTTCACAAGATGATTTTGAACATACTTTTTCAAATTACTTGGGTTGGAATAACTCCACAAGCTTCCATTTTTAAAGTGATAGACAAAATGAGCAAGCCAATGCCCTACTAGAGCTATATCCAAGGCACTATGTTCGTGCTAACCAACAAAATTGGGCATCTCTTACAATTAGCAAAAGAGTGAGACAACTAGTTGAAGTCCCTTTGAGGTGTTCATAAAGCAACAACCTATGACACCCCCCTCAAACTTGCAACAAATTATGAAGGCAAGAGCCCAATTACATTCAAGTTTGCTAAGTCAATGGCATAAGCAAGTGGAATTAACAATAAGTTTTAACAAAGCATTCAGAAAAATGAAGAAATAGGCGGACAAAAGAGAGGACACTTAGGGGATGTTTGGTTTGTTGATAAGGTGATGTAGTGTAAAATGAATACAAGGCAGAAGTGATGCATTGTATGTGAAATGCTTTGAAATTGTTTGATTCGTTGTAAAATAAATGAATAATTTTTTTTTAGTTTGAAATAAAATGAAAATAATGCATTTCGAAGTAATGCATTTGTCAATGTTTGCGAACGACGATGGCCAGTGGCAGAGATGATTGATAGCGGGCAACGGGTGATGGTTGGTGGGGGTGGCTAACAGCGTTGGTCGGCGATCGTGGCCAGCAGCCGAGGGAGGCCAAAACGGGCTGCGGCGGTTCCCATCGATGGTGGTCGATGGTGAATGGCTGTAGCGAGCAGTCGGCGGTGACCTGTGATGGTGGGTGTGGCTTACGGGCGATGAACAAGATTTTAAATTCACTATGTTTTTGAAATTCGGTCAAATTGAACAAATTCTAAATTCAAAGAAAATGAACTAACAATTGACTTTCAAATATAATGCTATTTTACATAGAGTTTAAATTTCTTTCGAACAAACAACTGAATTTTCAAAACACTGCATTAAGAATGCAATGCACTCCTAATGCTGCCAACAAAACAACCCCTTAGAGTTCAAAGAATACGACATTATCATGATGAGGCTTCTTCTCCAACAATTCAGAAATTTTAAGAGAATTTTATAAGAGCTTCATTAGAAGATATGAAGGCCCATTCCCGATACTAAAATTCATGGGGTAGGTTTCTTCTAGCTCTACCACTCTAATACCCCAGTGATTCCAAAAGTAAAAGCTAGACGATAAGTTCTTTAAATTCCTATATGTATCCAAGAAACAACATATCAACATACCCTCTAAAAATGCACTAGCACAAATGCCTAATTAAGTTGAATTTATGAGATATAATCCAGGAAGAATAAATCGGAGAGCTACTAGATGATGGTGTTAATGATGCTATGCCACAAATGAAGTTGCCAACAAAACAAGAATATGTTGAAAGCTTCATGATATAAAATGTCATAGAAGGAGAGCAATTTGACGATGCTCTCTAAGCTTTTGGGGCAACTATCAAACTTATGCCTCTCCCCATATGCAGGAAAGTCGAGCTTGTTGACCTTAAAACTACTGCCTTCTCTCCAACTCATTGATAATTCAATCAAATAGCTAAAGGGGATTTTGGAGGATGCAATAAAAAAGGTAGGGAAGTTCATCTCCCAATGGACTTCATAGTCATGGATATGGTGGAAGACATGCCCAAGTATCACATCATAGCAGGATGCCCCTTCTTTGTTGCTAGGAGAGCTCAGATCAACTTCTAAAAAGACAAATTACTGTTGTGGATGCAAGAGGAGTTGGCCTTTAAAGTTTATGAAGACCAAAATAATCAGCAAAATAAGGGTAGTGGAAATCTCTGATTGGACTTAGATACAAATAATAATAATGCCTCACTTAATTGAAAATAATCTGATGAATGCATCTAGGTGAAATTATTCCCTAGAACTTTAGCCTAGTTTTAATCTGTATCATTTTAGTAGTTAGATTTTATTATTTTAGTTTTAATTAAGTTTAGAATTTAATCATATTGATCATTTAAAAAATAAAAAATCAACTCAATTTCAATAATTGGTATCAATCTCTATAGAATGATACTCATCCTCACCACTTTATTAATTGTGTAACTATATACTCTATCAATTTTTTGGCATCATTGTTGGAGTAAGGATTATTTCATCTTAATTGGACAGATAAATTCAATGCAGCATCATATAAAATCCCAAGATTTACAAACAATGAAATAAAGCTTCACATGATAAATATACTGTGATAAAGAATCATTGCTTGGGCAAAAAGTGTTGCTTTATAATTCAATATTAAACACATGAAAATTAAAGTCAAGTTAAACCAGACCTTTTACAGTAAAAAAGGTTCACTCGTATGACACAATGAAGATATGTTAGGAGGAAAATTGTATTTTAAATTAAATGTTCAAAGATTAAAATCTTCCATTGACAATGATGTCCAAGAATGTATGGCCATCATCCTATTTAAAAATCCAAAGAAGCTTGATATCTAAGATACAATGTCAAATTGAAGACGTTAGAACTAAACTTTAGGGTTAACCCTAAACCCTAAACCCTAAACCCAAGAATGTATGGCCATCATCCTATTTAAAAATCCAAAGAAGCTTGATATCTAAGATACAATGTCAAATTGAAGACGTTAGAACTAAACATTTTGTTAGAAAGCAACTAAATATTTCTGACTCTTTTATGTAATTTTTAGATATAGAGGATAATTATAGTTTGTTTCCCATTCAGGAATGATTGAAATTAAACTTGTGCCAAAAGAAAAACGTTTGTCCCCTGATCTTACTTTAGATTTCAATGTTTTTTTTTCACTTGTGATCTTTGAATCATTGGGTACAATGTAATGTTTAAGTGTAAGAGTGGCTAAGAATTGCATTTGTTGTATTTATTTTATTTTCAACTTATTTCCTGATATTTTGTGTTATTCCTCCAATTTTTTTAATTTCTAGTTAGTTAATTACGTGAGACATACGATCAGGAAGAAAAACCATTTAGTTCAATGACTTGCACACAGAGAAAGGTTGAAGAGGGTGATGTTGGGGCGAAATTAAATGGTGAGCTAATTACAAAAAAATAGGTCGTTACGTAGTAGTACACTTGTTAATTTTCTATTTGCTAAAGGTAGTAGTAAACAAAATGTAATTATATGTATTGCAGAAAAAATGATTATAGCCCTTCTCTGTATTTTATCTTATTCCTCAACCCCTTCCTTGGATGGGAAAGCAGCCTCAAATCTACATGGTTTTTGTGCTACCCTTTGTTTTCTCTATTTTCATCCAACAGTAGAGCTTAATAAAAGTTTTTTCAATGACCACTCTAAGGTGAAGATGTCTTGATAATTAGTGATAGAGACACCAAAGTAGGTTTTCAAATATCTAATTTAGCCAAAAAGTCTCAATTTATGGATGTAGGTTCAAAGCAAATACTCCTATTACAACAACTAAAATGTTCTATTATTAGAAAAAAGCTAATAGAAATCCAAATTCCTATTGAAAAATAAAATTGAAGGGCTTCATAATAAAAATCTCAAACATGTGAAGGTGCAAAATGGAGTTGATAATAGGCTTTATGTTCTGTGTTGAACTGTAATAGTGTAACTTGAAACATTTAGAAATATGCAATAAAATCACACATTGTTAGGTTTAAAATTTGAAAAGTTTAGAACTTAAATGCTCAAAGTCAAGCATTCAAACATGAAAAGAGATGCATTGTGATAACTTCCATGGAAAAAAAAAATTAAAATGAATAGAACAAAACATCAATGAATTTTCTATGTATGTTACAAATTACCTTCAGGAGTACATCTCCGCGAGCCAAAGTGATGCAGACCTACATAAGTTCCTTTCACAGCTCCATTATTGTACACCAAAATAGTTGGAAGGTTATGGTCAGGATATCTAGGAATGCAGTCTGTAGAGACAATCTTAACAAACTTTGTGCCTGGGTATCTAGCAGCAAGCTCCTCTAAGCATTGTAGAAGTAACTCACATTGTGGAAAGCTGCCCCACCATTCAAAACAATCCAATGACTATCAAGCTTAAAGTAATAAAATTTGAAGCAATATTCTTTCTGCACAACCTCTAGCCAGAGTGAGGATACAAAAAAAAGTAAATTAAATATTCGGCAAAGAGCTTTTATATTGAAAAAGGAGGACAATGAACTGACACATATTCATCTTCCACAGATTTTAAACATGGATTCAACTTAAAAAAGTTCAACGAAAGCAGCGTAGGAGAGAGAAGTAAACTCTTCTCACCATTACAACTCAAATTAAGCCATATATAAAGGAAATAAAATCATAATTTAGTCTCAAAAATCATATTAACGAGAAGTATGCAAAACAAATCATCGATCAAATACACATGGACTGCAAAATACCTATCCTTGAAGAGAAGCACGACGACCCAGACATCAGCAGGGGCCTGAGAAACCTCGCGGACGAAATCGGACCCCGTTATCAAAAGCACTGATCCGAACCGAGCAACCCTAGCCGCCGCCTGCATCTCTGCCAGCCTCCGCTTCCTGAGCCGCTACAATGGTACTCAATTAATAGAAAAGGGAAACATAAACTTTCGGACACAGAAAAAGGAACAAAAGTTCACACCTGTACTCTTCTAGGAAGCGATTGTCATCGACATCAGGGTCATCTTCCAAACCCTCGAGCTCCTCAACAGTGTGCTCGTCGATCCATTCCTTAGATTTTTGGCGGAGGTCGGGATCTTCTGAAGGTGTGAAAGGCGGCGGTTTGAAGATTTCGGGGTTTGCCCGACCCGCCGTTGTATGTCGTCCCATTCAGTACTGGCGCCCTCCTCGCCCTTGTAGACGAAGTGGTAATCCATGGCTCTCTCTCTCTCTCTCTCTCTCTCTCTCTCTCTCTCTGGTCGTTTGGTAATGGATCTAGAGCACGATATTATAAATAGAATGATTTTAACTTAAAATCGAACCAAATATAATAATAATAATAAATCCAAGTTCCGTTAAATCTAGTCTTAATTTTATTTCTTTCTTCCTTTAATTTTATGAAGTAAATCTTAATTTAATAAATTTAATTACGAGCTGGATTTATTTTGTCATAACTCATGATGTCTTTCATCACGGACTCAATATGATATTCAAATATATGGGTTTTTATAAATCTTATTTAACTTAAATCTAAGGTCACCCAAACACTCACTTAACGTGGGTCAATTTGGACAAATTAAATTTACAGAATCCATTTAATTTCGTTCTATACCTTTTTGCATCTGACTCCATACAAATTAAGGGTCTGTTTGGGGCAGCTTATTTGACGGATGGTATTTTGAAAACGCACTTGACCCGTTTAGGTAAATTGCGTTTTGGCAGCTTATGTGTTTTCAAAACGCTGAAAATAATATTTTCATACTGCACCTATCTGCATCTATCTAGGTGCGGTGGCAGCTTTCCGGCTGTGATCCGGCTTTTCCAAAAAAAATAAAAATAATAGTCACCACACGTAGCTTACCGGCAGATTATTTTTAATTAGCTTATCAGCATATTATTCAATAAGTTGTAACTACCCAAACAGACAATAAATTTACAATTAAAATGCAAGCATTAGTTTTGCATTTTTTGTTCATTTTATCACATCTTTAAATTATTTGGTAGCAATTATATTGAAATTTAATTTTCATTAAATAGTGCATTAGATAAAAATTATTCTTAGACAACTATTAATCATGAATAATAATTATATAATAAAATCCCCTTTTTTGAACTAATATTTTTAACTTTAGCTTCGTTAGTGTATTTTTTGTGTTGTAATTATAAATCGAATTTGCTGACGCAACTCATTCGATCATGAACTGGTGGTCGGTCAATCCAAAACACATGATGGACCATTTCTACTGTTGAATTGTCGAGAATCGATTAAATTGCTGCTTCAACCGACATATCAGAGAACTAGTTTTATCTTTTGAAAAATCTAGATAATATTTTATAGCTCCCATGCACCGCAGGTCATTTTCCTAATTCAAAAAGCAACATCAAGTCAACATGTAAGAACTGACAAGCTTGCTCTATATATATATATATATATATATATATATATATATATATATATGTAGAGAGAGAGAGAGAGATTGAATTTAATTTAATTTGATGGAAAATATAGCCTAAGTAACAAAAAATTACAATTTTAGATGCATTGTATATTTAGTGTAATTTGTAATGTTCACATTCTAATTGCTATGAAGGCCCTGATAACCTTTTCACTTATCTTGAAGTAAATGTTTCATAATTTAGAATTTAACTTAGTTTCCTGAAGTCAGGATTTGATCTTTCCACACCCTCTATTGCTTTGTTTATCAACCATATATGTTGTTGCATTTTTGCATACTTGATGTTTTACCATCTAATAGTTATGCTTTCTGCGGAATGGTGAATTTTGTGTTTTTCTTTAAGTTAACAATATGATATCTTTTGTATGAGAATGCTTAGGTGGATGAGTGGCTTGAACCTTAGAGACAAAATACAAAATGAATATATCCGTGATAGAATTGGTGTAGCTTCAGTGGCAGACAAGATTAAAGAGAGCCGTGTTAGATGGGTTTGGTCACATTAAATGTTTACCATCTGATGATCCTGTTAGGAGAGTGGATGTTTTAGATTCGACTTATGTTAAGAAATGCAAAGATAGGCCCAAAAAGACTTAGGCATATTTTATAAAGAATTATCTTAACCTATTTGAACCAATGTTCTGAAAATCGGACCCGACATTGAACCGGCAAAAGGAGAGATTTGTAGAGAGAGAGAGAGAGAGAGAGATGGATATAGTCACGTCATGTTAAGTTTATATAAAGGTATATAGAGGCATGACCAACTTCTTATTATTTTAAAATTAAAAATTTTTTGAGTCTCTTATGGAATATATCAATTTTTTGGGAATAGGACTGATTAAGAAATCATTTTATTTGTTTATTTTTATATTTATGATACTATATTATTATTTTACTTTGGGCAATTTGGAGTGGTTCAATATAATTTCTGGTGAGAATTTGAGAATTTGGGCAATTTAGAAATTTTAGGGTTTAAGGGGCATTTTGGTAATTTGGGGAAGTTTGGGGGTAGAAGGCCAAAGTTGGGAGTTTTGGTAGAATTAAGGCTCATTGGGTATGTTGATCATAAAGTTGGTATTTTACCTTATGCCATGAGACCAATGGGAGAGCCCATTTTGGTTCCTCCATATGTTGGTCCTAGCCACATTAGCTAGCAACTAAGAGCTTGAGACCAAACACATGAGTTTCCAAAAGAGTGGGAGGATAGGTCAAGTGTAATGTGATTTTAAGGTTTTAGGTGTGTGTGAGGTTGTGATGAGCTTGTGCGCGTGTGAGGTTGTGATGAGCTTGTGTGCGTGTGAGGTTGTGGCCAAGACCAAGTCACCCAGGGTTGTCTTAAGGCTTGATTAAACTTATAGGAACTCACTCTCGAGTCTCCACATGTTGATCTTGATAATCCCAAATGACATTTGGGGGCTTGTGACCACCCAGGTGGGACTGTACAAGAGGAGGAAAGAAGTGTTAGGATTTTTTTTATGTGGGAGGGCTCTATTTACTAAGTCCTCTGGGATAATCAACAGAAAAGTCTTATGACTAGATCCTAGGCTTCTAAAGAGAAGAAATTAGATCTCATCAAAAATGAAGTCAACAATGCCCTTAAAGAATTGAAAGGTGTTAATAAAAGCCTTAGCAATAGTATCCCTGATATTACTTTTAATCTTAGGAATATCAACATTCCCATTATTGAAAGGAATATTGGATATAAATTTCATATCCTCATATTTAAGTAAAACCTTTCAATTATCAATATTCCATCCATTATCATGCTAAAAATCTTTAACCATAATCTTATTATCTTCAGGGCCACCATACCAATCTACAAGATTATCATTTTGAAGCCAATCGTCATACCAGAAAAAAACCTTACCATTACTAATATCCAAAGTAATAAGATTATTAATTAATTTTGAAACTTTAAGCATGTTTTTTTTTTTTCAAACAGAGGAATCAAACTTAGAATTATTAAGTGCAAGGGGATGCAAATCATTAAATGATTTAACTTGTAAAAGAGTAGCCCAAATGGAATTCTACTGTCTAAATCTAAACCATTACTTCATATGATTTATATGCATTGTATCAGCAATTTTCCTGAAGCCAATACCACCTTTATCCAATGGTTTACAAATATTATTCCAAATTTTCCAATGTATGATTTGTTTACCATAATCATCCCATAGAAATTTATTAATAAAACTCAAAGGCATGTTCATAATTTGCATCATATACATACAAAGGAAGGGAAGTTAGAATACTTTTAAGAATAGTAATTCTTCCTCCAAAATAATGAAATTTATTCTCCCAAAAAAAATTTTCTTAAGTTTATCAAATACATCAGAGAAAATGGCATTCCTTTTACTCTTCTTATATAAGGTAAATCCCAAGTTTTTAATAGCCAAATTAGTTTTGTTGCAATTAGTGTAATCCACAATCCAGTTCTTTTTAACAGTAGAAAAATGTTTAGAGAAATAGAAGTGACATTTAGAAGTATTGAAAAACATACTTGATACATCTTGAAACTGACTAATTTCATTCCAAACTTTTTTGATGGACATTTTATTTGCATTAGTAAAAATAATTAAATCATCAGCAAAACATAAATGAGAAATACCTACTCTACCTATATGAAAATAATACATGTTAGGGTTATTATGAAACAAATTATTAATACATTTAGAGAAGTAGTCAAAAGCAATAATAAAAAGATAAGGTGATAAATGATCACCTTACTTAATATCTCTAGAAGCTTTAAAAAAATTACAAGCTTTACCGTTGATTAAAATAGAATAAAAGTTGTTATTAAGAATTCTACTAATTATACTGCAAAAACTATCTTAAAAGCCCATTGGTATCAAAAGTTTTTTGATATCCATTTTAAAAATAATAATCCCCCATTACCTTTATTGTTCAAATCTAAAAGCAATTCTTGCACATTTAGGGAATTATCACAAATAATCCTCCCCTTTATAAAAGCAGTTTGATTTAAACTAATAATCTCATGAAGTAAAGGTTGAGTTCTATTAACTATAATCTTAGAGATAATTTTAGAAATCACTATATTTAGACTAATTGGCCAAAAATTATCCCAAGATATAGCATTGCTAATCTTAGGGATAAAAACAAAATTGGAAGTCTTGAAATACTTAGGTAAATCAATAACCCTGAAGAAATCTTGTATAGTATCAACCAGATCAAAGTTAATAAAAATACCTTGAACCACCTCAAACTAATAATGTCCCAACACTGTTTATAGAATTCAACAGTGAAACCATCAGGGCCAGGTGATCCCGATTGTTTATATGCAACAATATAACAATTTATACGGTGATTATATTTTTTCACTTATATTTCCTTATTTCGCATCAAAAGCAAAAATTTGAACCTGAAGAAAATAAGAATTCTACTTTTTAATTTATATATATTGGGATACTATGCTCAAAAACTAGAAACTAAAACTAAAATAAAGGTAGAAATTGGTGTCTTACAGCGTATCGTTATCAAGTAATATAAGAATTTTTTTATTATGCGAGACTAGAAGTAGCCCTTAAGGAGACTAGAAGCCAGCCCCTCGAAAAGTCCCAAGCCTCTCTTTTTATGGTTTTCCTAGAGGTGCCTTGGTATCCCTTCAAAATGTGTCCAAATTCGATGTATTCTCCAAAAGGATGCCTCCTTTCACAAGTCTTTTAA